TCTTTAGGTGGGAGGAGGTGGTTTGGCAGGAGGGCTGTGTGTGTGAAATGGGACATCTAAAGGAAAGACCCCTGTCCTCTACCTGTCTCTGTCCCTTGGGGCACTTGGACCTGTGGAGATCCTTCTAGTGTGCTCAGATTCTCTTCCCCCACCCCCCCCACCAGAGCTTTCTGTCTTACCTGCTGGGTCCCGGGCTGCTGGGTTCTACCTGCTCCGAGGCAGCTGGAGCTGCTGCGCTGGGGAGGGCCAGGGGGTGGGACTAGGCTCTGGGGCGGGGCAAGTGAGAGGAGGGAGCTTCCATGAAGAGGGAGGGAGCAGACAGAGAGCGTTCCCCTCCACCCCTTGATGTCCTAGGCTCCCCACATCGTCCCACTGAGAATGAATGGGCACTGACCAGAGCATCCAAGCTAAAGGGAGGACCTGTGGGGGCTACTCCAATAATCTAAGAGCTGGTTGTTTTGTTTTGTTTTTCCCAAAGGATGGAACTCAATGGACACCTGGGTCCCTTATTAGCCTGAGGAGGGGAAACACCCCCCCCCTCCAGTGAAGAGAGTCAAGGAAGAACCACCAGAAGGAGATTATCACAATAACTCACAGTTATGGATTACTTTACAATTTATGAAGTAAACAGTGTGAGGTATGCAGGGCAGTTATTATTATCCCCACTTAATAAATAAGGAAACTAAGGTTTGAGAGTCACATAGCTATTAAATGTTGAATGAAGGACATGAGCCCAGGTCTTCTGACATCTAATTGAGAGCTCTTTCAGTTTTATCAGATTCCCTTTTCATTAGATAAATAGATAGATAGATAGATAGATATTTTTGGTGTTTGGTCATTTTTCACTTGTGTCCCACTCTTCATGACTCCTTTTGGGGTTTCTTGGCAAGGATACTGGAGTGGTTTGTCATTTCCTTCCCTGGCTCATTTTACAGATAAGGAAACCGAGGCAAACAGGGTTAAGTGACTTGCCCAGGGTCACACAGCTAGTAAGTATCTGAGGTCAGATTTGAATTCAGGAAGATGTCTTCCTCATTCTAGGCCTGGCACCTGATGGGGGGGGCGGAGTGAGAACTAGGGGTGGGTTGTCTTGTCGTCCTGATGGTGGGTTAGATTTTCAAATGGTGATGGGGTAAGGTAGAGTTAGGGGGCAGCTAGGTGGTGCAGTGGATAAAATGCAGGGCCTGGAGTCAGGAAGACATCTTCCTCAGTTCAAATCTGGCCTCCGACACTTACTAGCTGTGTGACTCTAGTCAAGTCACTTAATGCTCTTTGCCTCAGTTTCTTATCTGTCAAATGAGCTGGCAAAATGGCAATTCACTCTAGTATCTTTGCCAAGAAAATACCAAATGGGGTCACGGAGAGTTGGACATAACTGAAAACTACCACACAACACTAACAAAGGTGGAGTTGAAGGAGGAAGAGAAGAGAACATTTGGGAGGGGGGCAGGGCAGGTGGATGGGCAGGAGGGAATTCGGACAAGTGGGCAGCAGCCCATCCACCCATCCCATGCTCCAATCCTTTCAGCTGTCACTTTGCGGTCGAGCCCTGGAATGACTGGCGTCCGGGGCTCCGTGCATTCAGCCACATTCAGGGCCCAGGACTGGGCTTAGCACTCCTGGTCCCCCGGCCCCTGGCTCTCCTTCCCTCCCGGCCGATAATTTTATTGACCTGTAAAAAGCACGTTGAATTGCAGGACAGGGTAGACGACCCAGGAGAAGAGTGGGTGAAAGGGCTTAGGAGGAGGGTGAACATCTTAGCTGAGATGGAGGGAAGCCCCAAAGAAAAGGGCAGATCCTGGAGACACGGGGGAGATAGTCAGGGAAAGGGGTCCAGGAAAGAGGTTTGACTTCAAAGTTGGGAGAACAGAGAATCTGGCCTTTGAAAAATTTCTAGGGATGAAGGTGGGAAGGGAAAAGGAAGCCTTGGGGAGATTGACAGATGTGGGATGTTTAAGATCTCTCAGAAGAGAAGGTTGGCTAGGATCTCCAAGTCTTTGATGGGTCCTCATTACCCAGGAGGTAGTGATGATTTCTTGGAGACAGGACGTAGAGTTCTCCATCTCATGTGACAGTAGGACCAGGGACCACAGCAGGAGGGGTGTTCTCCACCCCACCTCCCAATCTCCATAACTATTTGTCAGATATGTTATACTAGGAATTCTTTTCATGTATAGGTTGGACTAAAATGGCTAGTTCCTTCCCACTCTCATATTCTGTGATCTCCACCTACTACTCCCTTAGCCCCTTCCCTCCCTCCTTCCTGAAGGTGACTCTTGCCTGCTGGGTGTCTCCTGCCTACAAAAATAGACGTTTCCCCAAAGAATCAACCTAGATCCTGATTTTTAAAAATGAGAACAGTAAATTCAGGTCCTCAGCACCCCGAACCTTACTGAGTTCATGCACACACACACACATCCCTCTCTTCATACTGTTTCTATCTCCATTTCTTCTTAGATCTGAGGAGGGAGATTTCATGGGGGAAATAGGAGAAGAACATAAGATCATAGATTCAGAACTGGACGGGACCTCCGAGATCATCCACTTCAACCACCTTTTTTTACAGATGAGAAAACTGAGGTCCAAAGAGGTCTCTCTTCCCTTTGACCTCTTAGCTCTCTGACTCTGACCTGGATTCCAGCCATTGGGTTTCCTCTATAGATAGGGTCCCCAGCAGCCTCAGCTGGACACAGTCATTTCCAGATTGATTCCCTGTGGATGTGAGGACAGGTGCTCAGGCTTCCTCCAAACAATGTCCTTTAGCTTTTTCAGATTTCTCTCCTGTGAGGAGAGAGCTCTAAAGCAAGAAATACCCTTTCCAGACTGCATACAAACTTTCCTGAGCAATAAACTAGAATGCTTCTGTTCTGGGAATAATGCAAAGAGTACTGAACTTGGAGTCACGAGCCTGGAGTTTGAATCTTGGCTCTCACAAATAGTAGTGGTGTGATATTGCTGGAAAAGAGGGCTGATTTTGGAGTCAAGGGTCCTGGGTCTGAATACTGGCTTTGCTAATTACTACCTGTGAGATCTTAGACAAGTCTCTTCACCCTTAGGGTGAACCAGGGAACAGCAAAGAGACCTTTCCAGTTCTATATCCTATGATGTTGAGTCAGTCCCTGTGCTTTCTTGTACCTGTTTCTTTATTTAAAATAAGCAAGTTGAACTGGAAACAATGCTGAAATGGAAAAAAAAATCAATGGATTCAGAGTCAGTGGACTTAGGTTCAAAACCCCAGCCCTGACACTTGACTACTTTTGTGATTTGGGGCAAGCTGGTTAACTTTTCAGGCCTTAGTTTCTTCATCTGTAAAATGAGGAGATTGAACTCATTACCCTCAAGGGTCACTTTGAACTCAAAACCTATGATCCTATAATGCTTCCTGCTCCCCTCCTTAACTTGGGACAGGGGAAGCAAGGGATCAGGGATGGAGCAGACAAGAGTAAGGCTTCAAAGAGTCAGGGAAGAGAGAAGTTCCAGATAGAAGACGACTGTTGGATAGGTCTTGCTTTGCCCCTGGCATTGGGTGGGTATGGAATTGCCTCCATTTTCCCCAGAAGTTTCACCCATTATGTATGAGCCTTCCTCTTGGCAGGACAAAAGCTCACCAGCCCATGAAACATTTTACCCTCTCTTATCCCCCCAACTGGGGCAGCTAAGTGGCACAGCGGATAGAGTGCGAGGCTTATCTTCCTGAATTCAAATCTGGCCTCAGACATTTACTAGCTATGTGACCCTGGGCAAGTCACTTAACCTTGTTTGCCTCAGTTTCCCCACATGTAAGATGAGCTGGAGAAGGAAATGACAGACCACTCTAGTATCTTTGCCAAGAAAACCCCAAATGGGGTCACAAAGAGTCGAACATGACTGAAAATGAATGAACAGCGGGAACAGAAACATCCCCCTAACTATGCCAGCGGTGGGTCAGTCCAGCTGCTTCATGCCCCTTAGTGGCTGGACAGCAAGGCGCCCAGATTGTGATGCTCCAGCTGATAGAGGGCCAGGAGGCCAGGGGGGAAAGGAGGTGGGGACAAGACAGCTGGTGACTCACTGGAAGTAGGCTTAGCATCCTGCCAGGCTCTAGGCTGGGGGAGGCACTGCCCTCTGGTGTGTATCAGGAAAATGACAGGTTTTGCAAATAAATTTCTAGTGTTTTAAGCTTTACAAATCGCTTTCTTCAAGCTTGTAAGGGAGGTAGTGCATATAATCTTTCCCCTCCATTTTACATCTGCAGAAACTGAAGCTTAGAGATACTTGACAAGACATTCCCTCTCTCCGCTCAGGGCATCTCACTGGCTGGCTGTCCCCCATGCCTGGAATATTCTCTCCTCACATAGACTTCCTGGCTTCCTTCAAGTCTCAGCTTCTAGAGGAAGCCATTCCTAATCCCTCTAAATTCTAGTGCCTTCCCTTTGTAGATTACTTCTTTAGCTTGTCTACAACTTGTGTGTACATAGTCATTTGCATGTTGTCCCCTCCATTAGACTGTGAGGTCTTTGAGAGTAGGGACCATCTTTTACCTTCCTATAGGAAGGGCACAGCCCAGCACATAGTAGGTACTTAATAAATTGGAGTTGACTGACTGATTGGTCAAATAACTAGTGTGTGTCCAAGTAGGGATTCAAAACCAGGTCTCTCAATTTCCCGTCCAATGCTCTTCCTATGATGATATGCCATATTATCTCCCTTTCTCCCACCGCAATCCTTTCCCCAAAACAACTGCAATCTATCACAGGATTTACAGCTAGAAGGATACTTAGTCATCATCTATTTCAACCCTCCTCATTTTACAGAGAATGAAACTGAGACCCAGAGGGAGAAAGTGATGTTTCCAAGGTCTTGCTGCTAGGAGATTGCAGAGATGGGATCTGACCTAGATCGTCTGACTCCAAAATCCAGTGATCTTCCCACTGTGCCATACTGTCCCTTCCCTCCATCTCCCCTACCCTCCCTCCAGTCCTGCCCAAATCCCCACCGGTCAGAGAGAGAGAAGTCCAGCAGCAATGAAAAAACAGTTGTTTATTTACAACAAAAGAAGGGAGAGAAGGGCTTGTGCTGATAAATGAGGGCTGTTCAGATACACAGATAACACTGTTGCAGGTCTTGTGTCTCCCTCTAGTCCCCACCCTCTCAAGTAGGCAGGAGGTAAGTCAATGGACCACTGGACAATGGTTGGTGAGCTGGGGCCACCTTCAGCTGGTTATTTATGTGGTCAGCTGGGAGTCACAGTCCCGGAGGTAGTCCAAGTCAGCCACCTGGAAGGGCACCTTGGACCACTGCTTCACCTTCCGTCGCCCTTGAGGAGTCTCTAATAGCAGGCTCCGAATTTTCAGGGCAGGCAGTTTTACTGACTTATAGATCATCTCCAGACCCCATGCCTGTGGGCACAGTAGGACAGATATGTGTGTATATGTGTGTGTGTGTGTGAGATGAGGCGATGATTTAGGAAAGAGGCCAGCCTAACAGTTCTCTGACAGCAGGGATGGCTCAGACAATTCAGAGTTGAAAAGACCTTAAAGACCCCTTTGGTTGTCATTTTATAAATGAGAAAACTTGGGCCAGATGTTAGGTGACTTTCCCAAGATCACACAGACCTTGTGGCAAAGCTCATTTTTTGATTCTTTTTTTTTTAATTAGACAATGAGGGTTAAGAGACTTGCCTAGTGGCTCGCACAGCTAATAAGTGTCAGAGGCTGGATTTGAACTCTGGTTGTCCTGATTCAGGGACTGCTGCTCTAGCCACTGCACCACCTAGCCGCCCCTCATCCTTTGATTCTAAATCCTATCTCTTTTCATTATCCAAAAGTTAAGTTGTTCTGCTCTTTGTGACCCCATTTGGGGTTTTCTTGGCAAAGATACTGGAGTGGTTTGCCATTTTCTTCTCCAGCTCATTTTACAGATGAGGAAACTGAGGCAAACAGAGTTGAATGACTTGCCCAGGGTCACACAGCTAGCATCTGAGGCCAGATTTGAACTCAGGCAGATGAGTTCAGTACTCTACCCACTGTGCCACCTAGCTTCCCTTCCACTATCCTAAGCTGTCTCTAAAAATAGTCTCATCCTCTCTTCCTCCATATTCTCTAACTTCTACCCAGGTCAGGACAGATGAAAGAGGAAACAGCCCTTCCCTCAATCCATAGGAAGCTACTGGGTAGATTGCCCCCTTGCACCCACCTCTCCACATTTCCTGCAGCTGATGGAACCTCCGGGTTTCCAGTCCTTGAAAGTTCGGTCAATGGTCACAGGTTTGGGGGAAGTCTTGTAGTAGAAGCTGATAAGATAACCAAGTGAGTTAAGGACAACTTTCCTATTTTCCTTCCCTCCCTCCACTCCCAACAACTCATTCTCATTCTTAAGAGCTAGGCTCCCCCTCACCTACTCCTCAGCATCAGGCTGGTATCTCCCCTGTCAAGGGCCCCACTGGTATCTTCCTAGACCCATCAAGTCTCAATATCCCCCTTGATCTCTGCCCATCCCTAACTCCTTTTCATGCCCCTTCCCATCCCCAATCAGCCTCCCTTCCTCAGAGTGCCTCTTAGGGTCTCACATGAAATTGGGGTTCACATTGACATGGTGTGTGCCCTCCACCTTCCGCAGGTCACTGCCATAGCCCACGGGCTCAGCACAGTTGGTACAAAGAAGCTTCACTGTGTCTGCTTGGAACTCTGTCCTCTGGTCCATCTTCAAAGCGGCCTGGGCCTTGCGCTGGCTCACAGCCTCCAGCTGCAGGATCAGGATCTGGGTTAAGGGAGTGGGGAGACATAGGGTGAGGGTTGGCATAATGGGGCCCCAACTTCAGCAGTGTGTTCCATCCTTGACGAGAAACAGACTGGCATAATTATGGATTTATTTGCATCTCATTTACAATGTATCCAGATCATTTCAACTTACCTGGCCCCTTCCCTTCTCTTTCCCAGTATCCCTTCTCCCTACCCCTCTCCTGTTCCTTAATTCTTCCCCAGCTAGTGATAGAGAACTCATTACCTCTTGAAACAGTTCATTCAGCTTTCAGACAGTTCATATTGTTAGAGCTTTGTAGAGAGCTGAAATCTCCTCTTTGCAATGCCTACCCTTGCTTGGGAGTTCTGTCCTCTAGGCCAGAAGCAATCTAATCCCTCTTCCCCCTTCAAATACTTGAAGACAGCTGTCACACCTGTCCTCCTTCCCCCAATAGTCTTCTTTGGAATAATTTCCCCAATTCCTTCACTGCTTCTCCTTTATCTTGACATCCTGCTTGTCTTCACATGTATGGGTTCCAGTTTGTCAAGATCCCTAGCCTGTAGGAACTTATTCTATGCCAGCATCTCCAAATTTGGGTTGTCAAAGTGAACTTCACTTGACAATAGTAGTACCAGCACCTCCTTGTACTCTCTTAGGGAAAGCACCAGCTAGAGATTGAGGGAAGACATCTGAGGGGCCTGTCAGGGGGCCAGGAGGGGCACAGGGGCAAAGAAGGGGGCATGGAGAATGAGGGTTGGGGACAGAGGCATAAATTCTAGTAGTAATAGAAAGAACACTATTCCAGATGCAGTCTGACCAGGGCAAAATATAGCTGGCCAGTTACTTTCCTCATTCTGGACATTCTTCCTCTGGTAATGAGACCCGAGATCAAATCATCTTTCTAAGCTGACATTTCACACACTATTGTTGACTAATACATAAAGGGGTCCCCCCCTAGAAGTTCAGGCCAATAGCAATGATTAAGAAAAGCAGAGAAAGCAGAAGGAATAAAAGAAACCAGATGGGAGCAGTCTACTTTCTGCCTTGCGGCAGACTTGAATCTGCTTCCTCAATCACCGGCCCCCCCCCCTCGCCCCTTCCTCTGAGTTACCTCCCTCTCTGGTCCTGACCTCAGCTTTGTACTTGGTTTCTTCCATTCTCTGTATTGCAGTCACTGCCTGTTTCATCAAGGCCTCCAATGCCTCGTTGGTCTGTTCCCGACGTAACTCCCGACTCCCGTGGCCCGCCACAAATGAGTACACACTCTGGTTTGCCCGGGCTCTGCCCCGTGCCTGGGGAGGAAGTCAGGGAGCAGCGAATAAGATGAAGGGACAAATCCCTCAGAAGAGCTGAGCCCTAACAAGGGTGAGGTCCAGGACAGGTTCCCTTTCTCCCATAGTGGCCCTCCAGTCTGTCGTTTCCTTTACTGGCCAGAACTGCCATGACCAGAATGTTGTAGCTTTTTTTTTAAACCAGGGTATGCCTTCCCCCATTGCCTTCTCCTGGGGTTGGAGGCGGGGTAGGGAATATTTCCACCCACCCCTGCCATGAAGTGAGGGCATAGGTGAGGCTGTCTGGGGAACTGGTTAGCCATACGCCCAAAACAACCATACTTGAGGTGAAATGTTCTTAACCCACCCACACTCCACACCGCCAAATGAAGAGGGCATAATAGCTCCCAATTACAGCTCAGGGAAGTGCCCCTTCAGCGTAATAGAGCCCCTAAGGACCTTAGGTGGGGAGGACAACTAGGAAAATTCCAGGCAGGAGGGGATCCCAGAAGAGGCATCTTCGTGGCGTCTGAGTATTTCAAAGAGGAGATATTGGGGGAGTATCTTTGGGGAACAGATCTCACAGAGGTGGGGCCCAGCAGGTGATGGAGAGGGGATTCTCTCAGGACAAAGAAGGTACCTGAATCATTGAAATTTCATTAGTTAGAAGGCTATAGCGCACTATCACGTTACAGTGAGGGATGTCCAGCCCTTCCTCAGCCACACTGGTGGCCACCAGTAGGTTCAGGGTACCAGCCCGGAATCTCTGGATCACTTCCTGTTGCTCTCTCTGGGGATGGAAGACTTAGGATGTGAGGGGGAGCTTTGACCACCCACCTCCTCACCTCCTCCTCCTCAGATCCTTTGGTCCTGTCCCGACTGAATCTGTTCATTCCCACATGAGTTCCAATCCCTTTCCTCTTTTCATCCCTCTCACTCTATTATATCTTTGTTCATTTTCACCCAGCCCCTTTCCCTCTGCCCCGGTATCCCTTCAGGCTCTGCTAGTGGCCTCCAAACCTGTTTCTTTCCTCTGGTATTCCCTGGTCACTGTCCATCTCCCTCAGTGTCCCCTTGTGCCTCTCTGCATTTCCCTCTAGCTACACCCCTTTCTCCAGTGTCCCCCTCCCAGCCCCTTCCCATTCCCCATTTCGCCCTTGGCTCCATTCCTCTCCCCAATGGCACCCTGACTCCTTCCCCTCTCACAGTGTTCCATCAGGTCATGGCACCTCTCACGGCATAGCCCTCCCTTCCCCTACATACATACAGGTGTGCACCTGGGTCATGTGGGTGGTCTGGCTGCTGTGGCCAGCCCCAGTTAGCACTTGGGCCTTGATGCCCAGCTGCTGGAGTCTGGGCCGCTCCTGGAGCCAGAGAAGGAGAGCGTGAGCACTCTGTCGGGTCCGGGTAAATATGATGCCACGGGAAGGCTCCGGGGTACTGAACTGCTCCTGCAGAATCTGCTCCAGGTCTCCCAGCTTTGGGTTTTCAAAGTGGGTATCACTTGCCAGTAAAGTTAGTGCCTCCTGGTGCTCTGTGAGGGGAAGACACCAGCTGGAGGTCAGGCGAGGCCACCTGAGGGGTCTGGGGGCATGAATAGTCTGAAAAGGGTAAAGAAGAATGGGGTGGGAGGGATAGGGACAAGAGAATAAACTCTCTCTGACCCTTGGCCCTTCCCTGAACAGTCCTGGGATTTCTGGAATAGCCTTCTTGTTCCTGGGACAGTCCCTGAGCATGGAAGCCTGAAGCACTGCCGTCCTGCACGCAGCACCTATCTCTCCCACCCCTAGCTCCTGGGCATCTGTCGAGGGGACTACAATAGACCTGAATGGGGAGGTGATTCTCCTGCAACCATGCCTCACTTCCAGGTTGCCCCCTGCTCCTGTCCCTGCGCTCACCATCAAACAGCCGCAGCAGCCAGCCTTCGACAGGGAGGATCCTGACCTTCCTTATGTGCTCCTCAGCATAGAAGCTCCCCAGTGAGGTCAGGGCGTCCACTGCCCGGACAGTGCCATGGATGAGCAGCGCATCATTGTACTGCCGCAGATGCAAGGCAAACACCCTCTTCTGGAGGTGACCCTGCTCCGCAGCTGGCCGGTCACAAGCCAAGGGGGCAGAAAGGGGACATAGAAGTCCAGGTTAGAAGGTGCTCCAACCCCAGAAGGGTTGGAAATGGTCACCCCCAGGCCTCCACCCCAGCCTCCTCACTTTCTCTCACCTTCGTTGCTCAGCTCCACCACCTGCTGCTCATATCTCTGGCTCCCAAAGTCCCGGCTCAGCTCTGGCATCTCGAGTCTGTCTTGGATTTCACCCATGAGCTTCTTCAGCAGGTCTCCAAATGGGTCCTGGGGGGGTAGGGGAGCACGGGGGTGGTAAGTTGAGGCTCCCACCCCCAAAAATACACACACAGAGAAACTTACCCACAGACTAGGAGGGAGGCACATCGACACTGGGATGAGAGAGAGAGGAACTATGAGAAACTGAGTCCCTCCTGGGAGGTCACCCTGAACCGAGTACAGGCATTCAATAATTGTGATCAGCACTTAGTTTGAAACTTAGTATTAAAGAGTTGCCAAGAGTGCCGAGAAGCTAAATGATTTGTCCAGGGTCACATAGCTAGCATGGGTCATAGGTAGGCCTTGATCCCACAACAATAAGACATAAAAGAAATGCCCAAGTGTCATGGAGGACAGGATTTTCTAGCACCCATCGATCGACCAGTATTTATTGAAAGTCCTATGTATGTCATCTACTGTGCTGGGACTAGGCAAACAGACAAAATGAAATAATTGCTATCTCAAGGAGCTCATATTCTTTCATTGAAAAGAAGACAGGCAATACACACAAAGAGGCATGCTACCCTCCCTTCTGGACACAAGTGGGCAACTCTGGGTGTGAAACATGGCACTGCTGTCAGACTCTATATATGAGCTGGCTTGATTTACTAAACTGCTCTACCCCCACCTCCCCTCTACCCTGCACCTTTCTTCCTCTGGTGTTTGTTATAAGGGCTGGTTCTCTGGGTAGGGGAGAGAGAAGGCTATGTTTAGAAATAAAGGTGGCAGAAAAACAAAAGACATCAACACAAACTTCTAAAAAGTTATGTATTTACAGAAAACAGCATTCCCCAGGGCCTCTTGCCTCAGTGCACCCATCCACCTTGTTGTACCAGAGGCAGCCATGTACTTATCCCAGTCTTTCTAGAAGCAGCCCTAACCCCTTGGGGGAGGCAGAGGGAGAGAGTGAAACATAACTGATTCTCTGTTTTTCTCCTTATCTGTCCCGTCTTTCACTCAGTCGCTCCTTGCCTCTGTCTCTGTCTTTCTGTTTTCACCTCTCAACAGGGGCACAAAGAGAAAAATGAATAGGAGGAGACTCTGTGTGTGTGTGTGTGCGTGTGTGTGTGTGTGTGTGTGTGTGTGTGTGTGTGTGTGTGTGTGTGTGTGTGAGAGAGAGAGAGAGAGATATGTGTGACAGAAAGCCCAGGGTTGGGAACCAGGAAACCTAGGCGCTGCCACTAATTTAGCATGAGCCCCCAGGCAAGCCCCTTACCCTCTCTGGGGGCTCAGCGTCCTCTTCCATAACAAAGGCGGCTCTTTTTTCCAGGTATGGGCTCTTTAGGGGTCATCAATAGTTCTGGGGTCTGTGATGGCTCTGGACACTATTCCTTGTACTAATACATATAGGGTAATATGTATAGGACATATTATATAATATGTAATAACATGTAATAAGGTATAATAACTAATACACAGGGTGTGCTGAGAAATGTTTAACAACTGACTCCGGGAAAGAAAAAATGTATCAGGACACACTTCAAGTTTAATTGTATCACTGACATTTTCTCCTTCACTTTCTTAAGTCTAGACAATTAACAAAACAGTCACTCGTGCCCTAATTTATAAACAATTGTTGATTTCCAAGGCATAAATTCTGAAAATGAATATACAGTTGGTACTCCCAAATGTTATTAGCTGGCTCCAGCATACCCTTGGGTTCTTCTTACCTCTAGAAGAACTAGACCCAAATAGACACAAACTTTGTGTTGGTGTTTTGAAGTATTCTTTTTTTTTTTCAGTGAGGCAATTGGGGTTAAGTGACTTGCCCAGGGTCACACAGCTAGTAAGTGTTAAGTGTCTGAGGCCGGCTTTGAACTCGGGTCCTCCTGACTCCTAGGCCAGAGTTCTATCCACTGAGCCACCTAGCTGCCCCTTCGAAGTATTCTTAATCCTGGTTTTAACTACTTAGTATCTACAGTCTTCAAGAGTTACTGTAGCAGACCACTAGGCAGGGTAGGGGAGAGAATGCTGGACTTCGAAGTTCACATACATACAGAAGTTATGTCCTGGCCTCCCTGGGGGCCTCCTATGCTCCCGTACCTCCTCCCCAGCACCCCCCACTACGCACATACCGGGTTCCGCTCTTGGCTCAGGTCATAACGCTTGGAGGGCTGAGGACTCTGCTGCTCTAGCTGCTCACGGTAGTTCTGGGGTGACACGATTTGACAGGTGTCCAGGTTGGCACAGAGCTGGAGGGGGAGATAAAACTTATACTACTTCACCCAAGCAAACAGCAGCTTGTCTTTAACTTTCCAGACTTATTACATACAACTCCCCTTCATTCGCTCCAGTCAAACTGGCTGTACTCCCACAGGACGTCTCGGTTCCAATCTCCGTGTCTTTGTACAAGCTGTTCCCTACGCCTGGAGTGCACTCCCTGCTCATGTCAATCTCATACAGATCAGTGGCCACCTTCTGCGTGAGGCCTCCCCTAATATCTTCTCCTTCCCCCAGCTGTTAGTGCCTCCCTCTTCCACATGACATAGATTATAATTTTCCAATTATATTTCTTCCAAATGACACATAACATATATGTATATGCACACATATATAATGCAATATACTACATCTGTATATAACAATATATATGCATATATACATGTACACATATACACATATGTATATATAATACTATATTAATATATATTTTATATATGTGTAAATAGATATAAAAACTACATATAACACATATTGTTTGCTTCTATGTGCACATGCTGTTTCCCCAACTAAATCAAAAATGCCCTCAACTTGCGGCTGCTTGAGGTTCAGACAGGTCAAAGGTCTTGTCCAGGGAGACACAGCTAGAAAGTGTCTGAGTCTAGATTTAAACCCAGGTCTTCCTGAGTCCAGGTCCAGCACTTTGTCCAGTACTCCACAGTGCCTCTCTTAATTTCAGATTATTGGTATAATCACGATGGGGGAGAAGCATGAGGCACAATATCATCCTTATCATCTTGTCTCCTACCGCAGGTGTTCTGGGGATGCTTGCAGTAAGCCTGAAAAGCATGAGCTCATGTCCTGGTATTTTTCTTCAATTACAAAAAGCAGTTATCTTGGGGCAGCTAGGTGGCGCAGTGGATACAGCACTGGCCTTGGAGTCAGGAGGACCTGAGTTCAAATCTGGACTCAGACACTTAACACTTACTAGCTGTGTGACCCTGGGCAAGTCATTTAATCCCACTGCCTCACAAAAAAAAAAGGCAGTTATCTTGCCCTCCTGGGCAAGAGTCCACAGAATATTAAATCATAACAGCAGGACAGCAACCTATCCTGAGACTATCTCTGTCTAAATGCCATTTAAGAAATGAGAGTAAGATGTTGTTGCTGCTGCTGCTGAAGATGAAGATGCTGCTGCTGCTGCTGCTGATGATGATGATGAAGATTTTGATGCAGATAATGAAGATGCCGCTGCTAATGAAGATGCTGCTGCTGAAGAAGATGATGAAGGTTATAATGATAACAATCCACACAGCAAAAATAAATAAGAAGGGGGAGACAAAGGAAGAGGAAAGGTAGGGGAAATGACCTCACACATATATAACTGGGATGTGCAAATGGAACCCTATGTTAACCAGAGAGAAGGGCTGGGGGAAGAGGTAACATCTGAACCTCACTTTCATATGAATTGGTCAAAGGAGGGAAGAATATATACACACACAGTTGGATATACAAATGCATTTCATTTAACAGGGAAACAGGAGGGAAAGGTGGAAAGGGAGAAGAGGGAATTAGAGGAAGAGAAGATAAAGGGAGATATTTGTCCTGAGCTAAATAAACTCTTACCACGGAGGACACATGGGGAAGAGAGGTCTAAAAGGAAAGGAAGGCTAAGAACCTGTCACTGGGCTCTGGGTAGAAGAAAGAAAAGGGGGCCAGGGGAGCAGAAGCAGATTACAGCAAACCTAAAGCAATGATGCTGTGGTCGTACTTTTTCTCTCACCACCCTCTTTATAAAGAAGGGAGGGGAAACTCTGATCAATACAGTGACCAATCATGACAGCAAAGCACTCAAGCTCCCCATGTCCTGACAGAGATGAACTCCAGGTACAGACTGAGATGTACTTTCTTGGACATGGCCAATGCAGAGATCAGTTTTTCTTGACTGTGCATATTGCAAGGGCTTTGTTGTTTTTTTTTCTTTTTCAATTGGGGGGGAGGAGGAAAAGGTGGGAGGCATATGAAGTATCCACCTTTTATGAACTAAAAAAAATTTAAGTTTAAAAAGCAAATTAAAAATGCTAGATTCCTTTAATTGACAATTGAATGAACAAATGGAAAATTATTTACTATGTGTTGAGTACCATGCTAAACAGTACGGATGCAAATAGAACAGTTGGATGGTCCTTGCCTTCAGGGAGCTCACATTCTAATGAAGGGAACAAAACATATAGAAGGTTTCAGCTACAAGTCAGATGGAAAGATTTCACGGTCTTCAAGATACAGCAGCAAAGCGGATGATAACACTTCTTCTTTAATGCCCTTTCCAGGGATAAAACCTGTTTCTGATGTTGAACCATTTTACAGGGCCAAGGACTTTGATGGGAAAGAACTTTTTCACAAAGAAAAAAAATTCAGAAGTTGATGGTGATAAGAGGAATCAAAGCAGCAAAAAGAACAAGACAGACAACTCAACGTCAATCAAAAACTTGACCAAAGAAGTTTGAGAAGCAAAGACATCAGAGGAGAGAGGGAACCCCTGAAGAGGATGTGGAAAATGTCCAGTTGTTTACATGGACACAAGAATTCCAACCCAATCAAACTCAAAACTCCCCATATATTATAACGAATGGCAGAACAGTTCAGTCAAGGTAGGTAATAAAGTCTACATTATCTTCTGTGAGCCTGGAAAGCCATGAGACCCAATAAGATCCACTCTCATTGGCCCAAACGTTTCACAGCAGTGCATGAATTTCTAATAAAGGACTTTATGCCAGCCTCCTCTGCTTTGTGTGTGTGTGTGTGTGTGTGTGTGTGTGTGTGAGAGAGAGAGAGACAGAGATTTATTTCCTATTCACAAAAGAAATGCTAAACACAAAACACAAGCATACTTTGACAGAAAAGACACAAATCAGGATTCATTAATAATTACTGTTACATTCTCCCAGGAGGCTGAAACTTCTCATCAGAACATGAAGTGGTTTCCTCTACCTTTCTTAACAGAGGGCATCACAAAATTACTAAATAACAAGAACACCAATGATCTCTTCAAAATACAGGCCAATTACCCATTTGGGTACTTTATATAAAAGCATCACAGCTTGTATCATGAAAAAAAATCTAAAAGTGCTCACCAGAAAACAATATATTGGCTGAAAAGCAAAAAAGGTCTGCCCAGAAGTCCCAGGGCTGCAAAGAACAACTGTTTCGTCAATCAGGTAACTATTAAATGAGCTGCCTGGAAAGCTGCTATGACATTTGTATAGTCTTTATTGATTACTTGTAAAGCCTTTGACTCAGTTCCACACTCATGTTGTGTTCATGTACTCCAAATACATATTAAAAAGACTTGAGTATAGTGAGAACAGAGCAACTAGGTCGCATAGTAGATAAGAGTGGCAGGCCTGGAGTCAGGAAGACTCATTTTCCTGAGCTTAAATCTGGCCTCAGACATTTACTAGCTGTGTGACCCTGGGTAAGTCACTTAACCCTCTTTGTCTCAGTTTCCTCATGTGTAAACTGAGCTGGAGAAGGAAATGGTAAACCACTCCCGTATCTTTGCCAAGAAAACCCCAAATGGGGTCACGAAGAGCTGGACATTCCTCAAACAACCAAATAACAACAACCACCAACATACAAATGGTCTCAGAGATCTAGATAAAAGCAAAAACAAATAAAGACAAAAATGACAATGGCATAGGGCTGTGAATCATGGAACACCAAGATCTCATTGGCTAAAGCTGTCAGAAGATAGGGAATTAGATCTAGTGCTAGAAAGGACCTTAGAGATCATCCAATCCAATCCTTGCATTTAACAGAAGGGGAAACTGAGGCCCAGAGAAGGGAAGTAACTTGCCCATGGTTAAAGACACAGAACTAGGATTTGAAAATGGGTCCTCTGATTTTAAATCTAGCATTCTTTCCACTTTAAATCACATCTCTGAGGAATCAAAAATTTGTTCAGTCTTTTCAGTCATGTCCAACTTTTTGAGACCCTATTTAGGGTTTTCTTGGCAAAGATACTGGAGTGGTTTGTCATTTCCTTCTCCAGCTCATTTTACAGATGAGGAAACTGAGGCAAACAGGGTGACGTGACTTGTCCAAGGTCACACAGCTAATAAATGTTTGAGATCAGATTTGAACCCAGGAAGATGTCTTTCGGACTCCAGATCTGGCGCTCTATGCACTATGGCGCCACCTAGCTGCCCTCTAAAATGAATGGGGTACTTGAACCCTGGGCCTCCAGATTAAAAGTCTGATGTGGGGCAGCTCGGTGGCGCAGTGGACACAGCACTGGCCCTGAAGTTAGAAGGATGTGAGTTCAAAGCCGGCCTCAGACACATAACACTCACTAGCTGTGTGACCCTGGGCAAGTCACTTAACCCTAATTGCCTCACCAAAACCAAACCAAAACAAAACAAAAAGTCTGATGCTCTATCAACTGAGCTATTCAAGCTTCATGAAATCAAACCTACCAGAGACCTGAAGGGCAACTGAGAAAATCATGGTCGGTGCAGATTGGCTGTAATAGAACCAATAATGAGTTGCATGTGAGACCTGGCATAAAATACATCAAGCATATTAGGGGAGTGAGGGAAAAGAGCTAGATACCCCAGTTGCTGCCCTGGTGTCTCGGCAACACGAAGAGAACTCGAAGGACTCCATCATTGGCTTGCTCCTCTAGAGAGGATGTGAGAAAGGCCATGGACAAGAATGACCTAGGATGAGAAGCCATGGATGGGATGCAATCTCTACTGGTAAAAATAGCTAACACTTACACAGTACTGTGCTAAGCGCTTTACAATTAGAATCTCATTTGAACCTCACAATAACCCTGGGAGGTAGGTGCTGTTATTATCCCCATTTTACAGATGAGGAAATTGAGGCAGGCAGAGGTTAAGTGACTTGGCCAGGGTCACATACCAGATTTGAATGCAGGTCTTCCTGACTTCAGGCCCAATGCTCCCTCCCCTGCGCCACCTAGCAGACCCATCCATTTCTATCAATGGAAGGAGTAACTATCAACTGAAATACGTCATATTTACTAACATTTATAGAGCATTCTTCTCTGTGGTAGGTAGTATATAAAAATTATACCCACTTTACAGATGAGGAAAGTAAGGTTTAGAGAAGGTAATTTATTTGCTCATGGTCCCTCAGCTAATAAGTATTAAGAGTCAGGATTTGAACAGAGGTCTCTGAATCCCACTACAATATGCTAGATAGAGGCAAGAATTATGATTAGAATTGGGTACTTAGAGAAGAGGGTGCATTGACCTGAGTGGCAGGGTAAGCACGGCAGGAAAAGGCTTTAGGGAAATCTCAGGGGCAGCTAGGTGGCGCAGTGGATAGAGCACCCACCCTAGAGTCAGGAGGACCTGAGTTCAATTCCAGCCTCTGGGAGACACATAACACTTACTAGCTGTGTGACTCTGGGCAAATTACTTCGCCCCACTGCCTCTCCAAAAACAAAACAAACAAACAAACAAACAAAAAACTCAGTGGAAGGGTCCCAGGTCAAGGAGTCCAAAAGGATGGGCAGATCTTGAAGGGAGGGATTAGAATATTTGGGAGTGACACTTCCAGGGGGCAGTATTAAAGGGAGCATCTTTGAAGGGTTTCCCTGCAGACTGACCTGTAGGATGTGTTTTTTGGCTCCCTCCAGAGTAGAGGCTCCCCCAGTTCCAGGCGAAGCTGTGAGGCCTAGCACTTGGGGCAGGTTCCTGTCCCCCTGAAGTTTTCTTTCCAGGTAGTGGCTCAAAATGACATTGTAGACAGAGTCCTTTTGAGTATGGTGACATTCATCTACTATCAGGAGGGAGAAGGCTGAAATGGAGGTTGGGGGAGGGTGTCAGAGGGAAGGGAATGAGAGAAAGAAAGAGATCAGGGAAGTGATCAGCTGAGAATGGGGAGACATTGTGGATTAATTCAGGGAGGCTCAACCCAAGAGAAATGAGATAGGAAGGACATGGGGGGGTGAGGTGGCCCTTCTGCCTACAAGGGACATCAGCTTCTTGGGGGATGGAAGGAGAGGAGTGGTTTCAGTGTCAAAGTCAACCAAACAGAAGCATATCAAGCTCTTTCTGTCCCCCAGTCCCACCTGTCCACTGTCCCTTAACCCCCTTCTCACTGACCACTGAGTTCCACATGCTCCTCTTCCTCAGTACTGATCAGGGCCAGGCGAAGCAGCTCAGCTGTGCAGATCACAAGGTCATTGCTGTGGGTCATATGCCCAAAGCCAGCTCGGGGCCCGCTGTCCCCACTCATTGTGACAATATTCCACTTGGGGCCCAGCATCTGACTGAATTCTTCCTTATGCTGGGTCACCAGGTACACCTTGGGAGTGTGGAAGATACAGAGATAGGAAGACATGGAGAGGGGAGCAGGAAAATTGGGGGTGGGGGCGGGAGGGTTGAGGTGGGCAACAGGAATAATAAAAACACATTTCCATAGTGCTCCAGGGATCGCAAAGGGCTTCCCTTAGACTCCCAAAGTGAAGTAGGCTATGCAAATACTGATTCATACTTTACAAATTTAGAAACTGAGACCTAGAGGAGTTAAGTGATTTGCTAAAAATCACCCAGTAAGTAGGGGAGCTGGGATTCAAATCCAGGTTTTCGGACTCCATTATACTACAAAGTCCCTCAAAGAAAATGGGTGGCACATAATAATAGCTAGCTATATAGTAGCAGCAGTAGTAATAGTAGCAGTAATAGTAACGGTAGTAGTAGCAGCAACAGTAGTAGTAGTAAAAATACTAATATTTATATAGTGCTTTAAGGTTTGCAAAGTATTATCTTTGCAAACTTCAAATCTATTACATTTTGTTACATAATATAGTCTTATTTTAAAAATCTCATTTGATCCTCACAACAAAGAGGTACTGCTATTATTGACTCCATTTTACAGATGAGGAAACTGAGGCTGCAGAAACTAAGTGATGTGCCCTGGGTCATAGGTTAGTAAGTATATGAGGCACAATTTGAACTCTGGTTTTTTTGCCTCCAAGTCCAGGGTTCTGTAACCACAGTGCCACCTAACTGACATGGAAAGGGGAGATATTGGGAGATAGGGAACATTGAAGTGGGGAGACAGGAAAATGGATAGCCCACTCCCCTCCTTGCCAGATTCGAGCACCATAGCTAGCATAGGCCCTTCCATACAATGGGCACTCAATAAATCTTTGGTTACCAGGACCTAGGGCTCCAAAGCTATACATAGGACATTTAAATTTCTGACCTTTAGTTCAGGGCACCAGAATTTAGATGTGGGACCTAGGTTGGGTGGGGAGGATGCAGAATTTCTGAATGAAAGCTCAAGGAGTAGGAGACTCCAGATCATAAGAGAAGCAAGTGAGTATCTGGATGGGTTGAAGGTCCTGGAGCGTCACCTTGTTGACCAGTACGGCCACTTTAGCCCCATCCACCATGTCCAAGTGCCTCTTGGCCACATAAGCAGCAGCTCTGGTCTTCCCCGCGCCCGTGGGTAGCCACACGATGATGTTCTTGCCCTCCAGGGCAGGAAGGATCACCTCCCACTGATATGGCCGGAGTGCCATTCCTGGGGCTTAGGTGAGGAAAAGGGGGAGGGGGGGATAGGCCGGACTCTCCATTTCACTTTACTTGAGGTATCCTTAGCCCAGATCTCAAACTCCCTGCCCCACCCCCCAGCCCTCATCCCTCTGGACTCCTCTGCCTCCTTCCCTACTTCGATCTCCAGTCAGGGTTAGAGGAAAGGGTACCAGGGAAACCGGTTTACTTGGTGGAAACATACAGCTCTTTAAAACCACCCCCACCCTGCATTGGGGCATTGCCTCAGCCCAAAGCTGCATAGGACCAACTATGGGGAAAGGATCTGGGGGTCAGGGACAGAATACAGACCTGGGATTCTGGATTTTGTTCCGAAGTAGAGACTTCCCAGGCCCCGGCACAAGTTCCCCTCAGCCCAACTGCCGGAACCTCGAAAAGAGCCGGCTAACAGACCTCAAACCAGACTCATTCCTCTGCTCAGGAAACGAAACTTGAAAGTGAAACTCGGCACTAGGGGAGTTAGCCAAACATTCATTGGTCAGAGCCTCGTGAGAGGTGGGAGTTTCCCTATTGGTGAGATTGCTGGTTACCTCTCTGTCCTGAAATCCTTCCTCAGCTTCCCCTTCTCTCCTCAAATCTGTCTTACTGGTCTAGACTCCCTTCCAGCCCTCAGCTGCTGCACTCTCACAGTGCCTCCCAGGCTCCCCCTGCCTCGTGCCTTGTTAAGCTTGTCCCTGGTTCAGGGGACTGGGAATCCAGGAACCTGGAGGAGCCAAGCTGGAAGACTAGACTCACCCCCAACCTCCCTCTGGGCCTCATTTTGTCCTTCTCTAGGGAGAAGGGCTGACCTCAGTGCCCTATCCCTTACTACTCAAGACCAGCTGAGGTAAAAGTATCTGCTACCCTGGGAACCATCCCTCCAGAAAAGTCTCCAACCCCTGGCCTGGATCCAGAAACAAAACACGCCTAGCCTCTGATGCCGCTCCAGTTTCAATGCCACTAGACTATTTGGAGAAGGAAGCTCTTGGACCTTTAGGTCAGACCTCGTAGAACAGTAAGTATATGCATGCAGGTGGAATGGGAGCACACAGCCTGGAGGCCACTTATGGTCCTCCAGCCCTGCCAAGGGATTTGGCATGAAAAACGTAGAGGAAAACATTCTTTGTACACAGAGGAAATCCTTTAGCAGGCCCCAGGTTGTGCAGGCCAGAAGCAGCTGCTCCTTATCAGAGGTGATGAGCAGAGGGGGAGAGGTGGCTCCGAGACTGGGGGGGAGGGGGGCTCCAACACCTAGGAGGAGGGACTTGCCAGCCAGGGGAGATAGGGAATGAAGCACAGACCACAGACCATTGGAAAAAACCCAACAACCTCAGAGTTTTATTGTCCCCATGTGGGGCAAATACAGAGGGCACAAATCCCTATGAGGGAACAGGTGATGGCTAGAAGGGATTGGGCACCCCCGTGTGACAGCCGCACCCATTCCTAACCCCCCCAACACACCAAGACAGCAGTCAGCCCTTGGCCCCCAAAGCCCAGGGCGCCGGCTGCAGTGGAGGAGGGGAGCCATGGAGTAGTGGGCCCCATCCTGCAGGGCCCTCGAACTCCAACTGAGAACCTTTTGACTACGATGCGTCCTCCTCTTGAGGCAGACACAATGCTGTGGTTTGGGAATGGGAGAGGGATCTGGGTTAGGGCGAGGGCCTACACTTGGTGGGGGAGATTCCAAGACAGTCATGGAAGACCATCCCCTCTGCCCACTCCACCCATCGGTGGAAGAGAAGCAGGAAGGTCTGGGGGGAGTCTGGGTCCAGAACTTAAAGGTGGAGGGAGAAGGACTGAGAAAGACTGGGGGCCCCCACCCCCCAAGGTCAGGGGTCAGGTCAGGGAGCCCAGTGGGGGGGGCCCTCCTTGGCGATGAGCCCCCAAGGTCAAGAGGCTGAAGAGTAGGAGGCAGTTTGGGGAGCCTGGTGGAGTCTCCCTACTTGTCAGTAAGCCCCCCAGGTCAGGCGGCAGGTTGGGGAGCCTTCTAGCGGTCCCCCGACTCATCAGTGAGCCCCAAGGTCAGGGGCTGGGCAGTAGCAGGCAGGTTGCAAAACCCAGCAGGGATCCCCCTATTTGTCAATGAGCCCCCCTTCCTTCAGCTTGAAATAAAAGAATTTCTCCAGGGCGCTGGCACAGCGGCAGTACTCGCTGTCGGGGGGGTTGTACTCTCGGCAGTTGGCAATCACCCGCTGCAGGTCGGCCACAAAGAGTTTCCGGGTCACATAGTAGCGGCTCCTGAGACGCTCTGTCATTGTCTTCAGGTCTAGGGGCAGGGCACAGGTGTGAGATGCTGAGGGGAGGGAGGGAAGCAAGGGCACCCCAAGGGTTACAATGGGGAGGACAGCTCCTCCAAGGCCTCATCCAGAGCAATCCTGCTAGTCTGATAGGGCAACAGTGTGGGATGGGAGGGGGGAGCCTGGGAGGCACGGCGAGAGGGCAGCAGCTAAGGGCTGGAGGGGGGTCCAGACTGACAAGAAGACAGATTTGAGGACAGAGAGGTGACCAGCGGTCTCACCGATAGGGAAACGGATGACTTCATAATAATCTGGAGCCTCGGCCTTCTTCACAGGCTCCATGAAGGGCCAGGCACTGGGGTGAGTCTGTAGAGGGGAAAGGAACACATGGCCTGGAACTGAGGCAAGGTTAATGAGGCAAATCAAAAGGGGACCCCCTCATCCCCACTGAATCCTTCTCTCCCAGAAAAGGTTACTTAGTAATAGCTAGGGAACCAGCTCTCCATCTCAACCCCTACCCTAGTGCAGAAACCTAGCGTGCGAAGTTGGGGGGTTTGTATTGGTTGCTTTTTTTTGGGGGGGGGGTGAAGGCTTGTGTCTCCCATACCTTGATCTGAGCCAGCAGGTTTTTGAGGGTTGTATAGAGCTGGTCAGGGTCCTTGAGCTCCTTCCTGGGTGGGGATAGGGACAAGGGAGAGTCTAAAGCCCTCTGCCACCCCCTCACCTCCCCCCATCCCCTGTGTCCACTCAACACTCACCCCTTCTCCTTCCCCAGCGGCTTCCATCCCGTCTCACCTGAAAAGTGCGGCAGGGTATCACAGTTAGAGCAGGCAAGGTGAGAATGAGTCAAGGGCTTACAGCCTTTGTACCAGAATGTCTCTGGAAACTGATCTGGTGAGCAGGGAATGGAATTGGGGAAAGAATCCCCTGCCTTCTCTTCTGGTCCCCAAAGCAGGCATGTACTCTGTTCTACCCCTACTGGCCAATGCCATCCCCAAACCTATGCACTCTACCCTGTGCTGCCCCCAGGTAGTTCAGATGCCAGCCACTCACGGATGCCAGGGACGCTCTCCACGGGGATCTGCCTTACACCCTCCTTGAAGCAGCTGAGTCCTGGGTACACCTTCCGAATCTGAGCCTGTTTGCGCTCAATCAGTTTCTTGATTATCTGGAGGGTGACAAGTGGAATGAGGGCCTCAGCCTCTCCCCCTTCCCCAATGTCCTCCCTTAGGTAGGAGGGAAAAAAGGCTCATCTCCCAAGAACCAAGATGTCCTAGGATTTAGACATGGAAGTCCTTAGAGATCTTCTAAATCTAACCGCCTTATTTTACAGAAAAAGAAACTGAGTCTCAGAGAGTGGAAATGACTTTGGGTACTAAGCCATAACTCCCCCTACCTCCTGTCCCTTCACCAACAGGGTAGAAAGAGAAGCTAGAGTTCATTATGATGAAACATCATTTCAGGAGATAGAAGGCATTCTCAAAGGGTAGGTATAATTTTTAATATCCATGTCCCTGGCTGACCCACAGAGGGGGCAAAATGAAGGGAGCGGTAGGGAGCTGAGACCCAGTCTCCAAAACCTCCTGTTTTTTCTAGGGAAGGGTGGAACCTGGGCTATCTCTCACCTATTCTTTCCAAGTACCCTGGGAGGAAGGAGGAAACAGCACATCTAGACGAGGGGCCAAAGGTGGTGACCTGAACTTGTGGGCGCTTCCCAAACCCCAAAGAGTAGAGGAATATAGAGCAGGTGATAAAGCTGAATGGTTGACAATTACCCCTGCAGGCAAGGCTGACTATTACCTTATAAATAAACCCTAGTAAACTCAACTGTGGCTCAGGTCTAGAAGGGGAGAAAGGGATGAGTGTTCATCAAAGCAAATATGTGGAGTGACAGAGAAAACCTGAGGGCCCAAAAGAGATGAGTACTGGGGCATCAGGCTTGGTTGGACTGGCAGAATCAAAGAAAGGGCTCCTCCAGGCTGGGGTTCAAGTGACCCAAGTCCTCCATCCCCTTACATTCTTTCACAATCCTAGCCCCCCACCACCTACACACACACACCCCTACCTCCTTCTGCTTCTTGATGATATGGGAAAGCTCAGTATAGGGAATCCTGGGATTCAGCTCACACTCCATCAGCGTGGCCCCCTCATAATCCTTTATGTAACCCAGGTAGCGACTCTTGGGAACCTTGATATCCTTAGAGAAACCCTGGGAGAGGTATACCATCACTGAACAGGTGGTCATCAACAAGGAAACAAGTAAAGGAGCTCTTTGGAATAGTGGTTAGAAAGCTAGCTTTGGAGTCAGGAATCCGGGTTCAAACTGTGCCTCACACACACTCTAGCCATGTGGCTCCAGGCAAGTCACTGAATCTCTCCACACCCCAAGCAACTCTCTAAGACTGCTACAAATTAGTTGCCAAGCTATCACAGTAACAAGAGCTTCCATACCAGAAGTTCCCCACACTGACACAGTGCTGGGCCAGGGAAAAAAACAAAGTCCGTGCTAGCAGGGTATGTGGGCCTGGGCCAAGGATCATGTGCTCACCCTCTGCATTTCCATTCAGTGCTCTGGGCACAGTGGTCACTCTGTGATTGGTCAGATGCACCCCAAGATGGCATCTCTCCATATTCTTTCCCCTCCAAAAAGATCTTCAGTCTTTCTGGACCTTCAATCTTATTGGTGGGCATGGGACACTGAGATTTCAGCGGGGCAGGACTCAAGGACTTGCCCCCCACGACATAGCTCACCATAGGAGGGAAGGGCTTCCCCACCTTGCCTCGGGAAAATCTAAGGGGCCAAACAAAGACCCACCTCCACTCCTGCCAAAAGGAAGGGCACGAGGACACATGGCCCAAGCAAGCTAGAGGCAGGGACCGGAGTCCGGAGTCACCTGCTTTTTGAAGTAGCCGATGGCATACTCATCCGCGTAGGTGAGGAAGTAGAGGATGTTGTGCTTGATGTGATACTCCTTCAGGTGGTTCATGAGGTGAGTGCCATATCCCTGAGGGGGGGGGGTCACCAGTCAGGAGAGGGCCACTCCAGGAAAGAGGAGGGGGACCTGGCACCCCGGGGCAAGGGGGCAGAGTTCAGAAGAGGCAGGAGGGTCACAGTACGCGTCTTGTCCTCGCCTCCATCTCTCCAGGGCTCAGCTGGAGTACCAGCCCAGGTGGGACAGGCCTGCCCTCCGCTATTAGTGCTCT